GAATGTCCTTTTGCATTCATCACATCTACAGCCTGTGTCTTCCGTGGCTTGCAGAAAAGATGTCAGGGCCCTAGAGAAGAGAGTGATGTCAAAGGCTCTGGTAGTAACTCAGCATTTCTGCCTCGCCCCCGTCTCCCCTTCGGCATGCGCGCACAATGTACCGCTGGAAATGTTCCTGAGCCCACTTCATTCACAAAGTGGATGTGCCTGCATCTGCTTGCAAGGATCTGATTACATGAGGAAAGTGCCCACTGCCTGACCCCTGCAAGAATGCCAGCCCAATAGAGATAAAAGGCTTTTTAGAGGATTGATTCAATATTGTTTTTGAACTCTTTCCCGGTACCTGGGAAATGATGGTTCACTTACTAATGACAGTGCTCCGGCTGCCTGGTGATCTGAGTGGGACTGTGCACTGAATAGATGCTGGCTGGGAAGACAGCGTCCAAGAGTCTGGGCCAGCCCAGCATCCCACGTAGCGTGCCCATAATGTAACTCCCCTTTGTCAGCAGAGGCTGAAAGACTGTGATGCAGGGAAGGTCTGCAGCAGGATACAGAGCTCCAGGGCTGGCACGTGGGGTGGGTTGCATGGGCAACTGAGACTGATCCTAGGGCTTTTCATCTTGAAGGATGCCTGGTCCCTCCCCATCATGACTCAAATTTGGGGGCAGGAATTACATCCTGCCACCCTAGTTTGCAATGTGGTGCTTGGCTTTCTTTTCATGCCCACCCCGTCGTAGAGAGATGGACCCTGCCTCCATGTGCCCCAGGCTGCCAGCCTCCAAACAAGCCTTTTGCGCGCTCATTCCTGCTGCCCGTCACACTTGGCAGGAGCTCCATGCAAGCCTACACAGAACATTCTCCTTTTCCGTCTTCAGATGCTTCCCTAAACTTCTCCTTTGCTCTCACTTCCACAGAAATTGGCTGTTGGTAGACAGCTGGTGGACAGTGGTCTTGGGACATGATGCTGATGTTCTTCTATCTGTCTTGTCTTATCCTGGGACTGTACAGTCTTTGAGATGGGAGTGGTCTTTTCATTCTGCGTTGGTGCATAGGTCCTGGTCCACGATGGGGTTCTCAGCCACTGCTGTAATATATATAATAAGTGAAAAGTAACCTTTCTTCTCTAGGTATTGAGACTGTTGGAAAAACTCTGCTAATTCAAGTTCTGTGCTGGATTCCAGGCCTCGTGCTTCAGGGTGCAAGCTAACTGATGGGGTTGGGGAGAAGCTTTCCAGGTGGATGGGTAACTGTGCAATGATGTATTGAGGGGTCGCTGGCAACATCTCATAGTGGTGTCTTTTGGGAGCAAAGGACTGGTGCAGAAGGCTTATGAAGCTGGTAGGGCAATGCCAGCATTATAGGGGAGAGGAGAGAGTAGGGAGAAGCCATGCTGCTATGCAAGGGAAGGCACCGAAGTAGTAACATCTGGAAAACTGAGCCTGTGGATCTTGGACTCGCCTCTTTTTGACTGAGCGTGAGGAGGGGGGGAGCTGGGATGACTGGGAGTGTTATAAATGAGGCCAAGTCCTTGAGCTACCAGCCGAGTCACTTGTTTCATCCCATGCTACCTCCATCCACGCTCTTCACACTGATAAAGGCTAACAGAGGGAAAAAAAACCAATCCAAGGATGGATTTCCAGGAAAAACTGTTTTGCCAGCTATAGTTTTTAATGACGTCCCAGAAAAGCCACAGAGCCCAAATCTACCCCTAAAGCGGCTGGGGTTCTCTCTGGGCTGAATATGGGTCTCTGCGGAGCAAGGAATAGTTTGTTTGGCCCCTTGTCACGAAGATATCCACCGTCACCAGGGGATGGGGAATCCATCGTTCCCATTAGGGAGTCCTGGAAAATGCATGGCTTTCCCGAGCCTGAACTTTCTCTGACTCCCAGCCCATTGAAGCACACCCATGGTCTCGGCAGCAAGGAAGCTAGCCGGCAAGGAAATGGCACTTGCCTTTCGTCTCGCAGAGTTCTTTTAAAGACTTGAATAAATGTTTACACAATAACGCTCCTCAGGCACCGCACACCTGCTCTAATTAAAAGCAATTTGTTTCCTGGAGCTCTTATTATTCCTGCAGTGGGAATCCCCGCTGCTTTCGCAGAGACCGGGCTCTAACAAATCTCTGTCCAATTCTGCCCGTGCGCGCCTTGAGCTCTTCCAACAAGAGCCCCCAAGACAGGCCCGTAAATAATCTTTAGGGCCACACTGGGAAGGGCTTCTGGGGAGCTTTAGTAAAATATTTGGACTATAAACCTCCTCCAGGAGGGAGTGGAGGCTGAAAGGAAGAGCCTGTCAGGAGCATTTTTTGGTTTATAACATACTCATAAAATTTAAGAAATATTGGTGTTTGGCCAGTGAATTCCTCTTGCGGAGCGTGCTAACACTTGCTACGGAGAACATCACGGAGCTGCAGATCCACCTTAAGGTCTTCTGGTAGTCCCTGTCCTTGGGGAGTGAGTGCCCCACTCCCATTTGTACTTAAAGACGAGTTGATATCAGTGTTGGTTAGACTTTGCTTTCATCGAGTTCAGTAGGATTAGAGCTGGAACTGTGCACATGCTCCAGAAAGTCGTACCAAAGGAGTTTGGGCACTTCCTCGTCCCTCCTCTGCAGGGCCAGACACAGGTACAGGCAAACTGAGTGGCTGCCTGGAGCCTGGAAATGGTATTTTTTTTGTCCAGTTATCATTATTATTATTATCATCTCTGGCGAAGTGGGGGCCAATGCTGAAAGTTTGCCCGGGGCCGCCAGGAAGGTGCTGCTCCTCTGCCACACTGCACTGACTACTTCCAGGATTGCTTGGGGCTCAGTTCATCACAACCTTGCACTTTGCACAGTCACGGATGCAAAATGTTGCCATTCTGCTATGGTAGTATTTTATTTGAGGATCTCAACTCGGAATAGCAGGCAAAAATATACTGAGGCCATTGATGGAGCGCTTGGCGAAAAGCAAGAAGGCTTTGTGACCTAATTCAAGGGCTGTCTTAAGGAGACTGAAGTCTCTGCTCATAGCAGGAGGTAGTTTAGAGCTGGGATTTCAAGAGGCATTGGGATAAGTTTGCAAGACTCAGATGCGGGGAAGTTAGTCCAGCTGTTTGGCATGACACGAGGCAGCATTACCGGAGACGCAGCCTTCATGCACGGGTCAGGCTCAGATTTTGCTCCACGTAGTTTTTCATGTATGCCTCACTGACCAAAGCCGAAGCAATTCTGATTCCAATTAAATGCACATCATTCAGCCAGGGCCATTGCTGTGGTCATTTCTTCAGCTCTGGTGACGGATGCCGGCAATTAAATCAACAGTGTTGCTCCTCTTTTACATTCATCCTTTCATTCTCCCTCCATTATCAGAGCCAGCGCCATGGTAATTAAGGTCATTTTTTCTTTTTCCTTTTTTTTTTTTTTTTGCTTTGGGAATCATTTAAAGCTGAACAGAGCCTGAGCTAATAGTCAAAAGGCTTTTCAGCTCTGATGGGGAAAAATGATTGAAGGCCCTCCCTTTCAGACCGAAGCCTTCTGGAGTGGCCCTCAGCAGAGACTTCCAATCTGCCTTCAAGTGGACACGTCAGGATGAAGCTCAGCAAGTGCCTTTCTTTCCCTTAATCAAGCTCTTCATCTTGTGCCTTCCGAGAAGAGTTACAACCCATCTCAAGTCTGCCTTTTTGCTTCTGCCTAATGACCTTCAATTCAGCTCTTTGCATGGCCCCGGCACACGGCTGCATAAAGCAGTCTAGGGCAGGTGCACTGGAGTGGAGATGGGCTGATGTGAACGCAACCGGTTATCACGCCTGTCTAATTTGTTTTGCTAAACCCGAGTCTCTCCGCAGCACCACATTTTTAGCTTATTAAGGATGAACCTTCAGAGGGTATTTTTGCTACGACTTCACAGAAGGTGGAAGGTTCCACTCGTTAGATCTTTTGATGGGGAAAACAAGTGCGACAATGAGGCCTGATCATTCAGAGAGGTGTGTTAAGTGTGGCACTTCAACCACGGCAATTCAAAGCATGTCAATAGTTCAGTTTAAACAAGACCCTTAACTGCTAAAGGTGTGCCAGGTTGGTGACACTGCGTTAGCCTACGTAGCCACAAAAAATATTCTGCTGAAGAATGGCATTGTAGATGTTAAGCTCCTTGATTACAGAGGTGTAGCGGGGTGGCTGGGCACCTGGGGCACAGGGGCAGTGGCAATTTCTGGTTGCCACTGAAATAGCGATGTGATTGCTTGGCTGCTGGCAGGAGTTGGCTCCTCCATTGGTCGCCATCCTGTCCTGGTTATACCACTGCCTGGTTAACTGGCACCCTGATAGCTAGTCAGGGCAGTTGAGTTAAGTCTACCTATCTGTGAACTGTGTAGACAGGCGGAGATAGGAGGAGGGGTTAGAGATCACAGCACCGAGCCTGGTGCCTATGGCTATACACACCCACTGTGGGTTTGTCTTGTTGATAATGGCAGAGCTCAAATGACTTTTCTACCTTTGCAGCCCCATTTAAATCAAAGAAGTTTTCAGGGATGATTTGGAAGGTGGGTCCTAGACCAGAGCATGAGTTGGGGGAGGAACAGGAGAAAGTGATAAAGAAATGGATGCACTGGGTGCATTTACATGTGCTCTTTAATGCGTGTTAGCCTATTTTAATGTGCATTAAAGTGTCAGAAGAAAACCGTCCACTTTTGCTAATGTACATTAAAATAGGCTAATGCGCCTTTTTCTAGTGCCTCACTATGGAGGTACTAAATTTAATGTGCATTAGCAAAAGCACATTCATGAATGCGTAGACGTGCCCACCGAGAACCAAGTAAGTGGAGTATGTTTGACTGGCCACTACTTCTTTGTGCCTCTTTATTCCCATTCCTGTAGGATGGTGGTAAGGATATTTGCTGCTTTGGGTGCTCTCACTGGACAGTGCCTCTTAGTTTTACCCTAAAAAAGCCAAGCATAATTCATATTCATAATAGTTTATTTATTGTTGTTTGTTCATTTGAGGAAGACGATCTGATGGACAATTTGTAAAAGTTGCTCAAAAAAATGAGCTGGTCTCTGACTTATTTTAATTTCCCCCAATGTAGCAAAACTTTACATTTCACAGGCTGATAGCTGAATGCTCATTCTACCCAATTAAAATTCATGCTAAAAGTTTCCCAGCAAAATCAGTCTGGAAAGGGAAGTACTTTGAGAAGCAGAGGAGCTGGTGATAACTTCAAGACGGTTTGCCTTCGAGCTTGACAACTGATATCTCATGCCAGTGCTGCTTATGATATTCTGATAGCCAGATTGGGCTGGGTTGGGTTTAACTTTTGTTGATCTTGTCTGGACGTTGCTTGCCTGCAGGAGACCTGGATTTGCTCTACTGTCCAAGAGAGGCAGAACAAAGGATGCGCGTTTGGTGTTCAGTTGGTCTCAGTCTTCCTTCCCTGTTCCTCCATTTCTGGGTGTGTTTCTGAACCCATGCTGAGCTAAAGGCTTGCCAGTAAATTTTGACTGGAGCTGGAGTTGAGAAGGTGCTGGGGCGGGGTGGGGAAATAAAGGAAGCCAAGAAGGTAGGGTCACCTCATTTTGGTGATATTAGTCGGACATGAGTTTGACCTTCCCAGGAGCAGATCAGTTACTCTCTGTTGTATCCCTCTTCCTCATTATTGTGGTTCTCCTCCTCCTCTCTGTGTCCCTCTGTGTCCAAGCCAGGGGTCTCAGCTGTCAAAATCACCCTTTGCATACAGAATGGGCATGTCTTATTCCTGGATTGGATGAAGTGCCACAGGTCTATGCATTTGCTGTGATAGCCATGGGAACAGGACAGGATCTTCAGTAGGTCTCCTTTCTTGTATGGCTCCAGGCAGATGGCACACTCTGTGTATTTGACTCCTCTGTTAAACCTGTTAGTGGACAAGTCCTTCCGCTCTTCCTCATTTAGCTGCTTTCTCCTTGTCCTCCAATACTGGTACCTCCTCACGTATTTCACAATGATCAAGATGCCTGTCATTATGGTGAGCAGGATGGTAACTGCCCTGCAGAGAGGCCGTATTTGGCTATGGGAGCAGTGTCCCAGAAACCGTATCTGACACCTGCAAGCACGTGGGCAGGCGTTCCCGGGAGCATCCATCCAGGTGAAGTGATGATATTCAGGGACCAAGATGATATGAGCTTCCTTGCCGGCGTGGCAGATCTTGGTCAGGAGCTTGGAGGTTGTTCCTCCAGTGAAGACAGATGGTGTCTCAATCTGCTGCCTGATCTCTTCAGTGTCAGTCACCATATCCGCAAGGGCTCGTGAGTTCACATTGTACACGATGGCAGCTCGATACCCAGCTTGTTGAGCGTGGAAAACCTTGGCCCGAAAAGTGCAGCTGGGCCTGCGGATAAGTAGGACGTCGTTCCTGGAAGAATTGCTGGATGTTGCTGGGCTTTCTATAGGATGACATGCATTTGCAGGGATTGCCACGATCAGATAACCTATCATCCCTCTTCTTGGGAGTGGAGGTCCAGAGGGTGCAGGGAGAGCCATAAAATCTTGACTGGTGCAGCTGCGGTTGTAAACAGCATGGAGAAAGGTTTCTCCACCAGGTACCTGTCCAAACAACAGGAATAGGGCGACCGTGTGGATAGGGCACCACATGCTGATTAGCGGTGGAGACTTCTTGGTGCAACCGCTGGCTTGGGTCTTGTCTAGAAGGAAGTTCTGGTTTTAGGGGCCTTGGTTGGTACCAGCCAAATAAAGGTGACTACTGGATCTTCCATGAGTCGGAACAGACCAGAGATTTTCCAGGCAGTGACAGCAGAGGGACTTTGCAGGTGCGTAGACTGCGCTGACTTATTCCCGAAGCCCTTGAGTATCTGACTGCAGTTTCCTTTGTTGGATGGCCTGATCTGTTTGGACCCAGCCGATCCTCAGCTTCTGCTTCCAGTGGCCAGGCTGGAAATTGTGACCTCATTGTGACCTCGCAGGTCCTTGTGACCTCGTTGCCTTGCTCTGCGCTCCTTCGCCTCGGCTTTCTGGACATACCTCCATCTTTGTCATCGCATACCTCCCTCCCCATCTCTGCTCTCTTCTCTTTTGCTTTCTTCGTGTCTGTGAACCACTCACGATAATTTCCCACTTTCTCATTTTTTTGTGATAGAGTGCCAGGAATTTCTAGTAGGAAGCTGATACAGAGAAAGTGGAACTGTTAGGACCATCCCCATCCGCTCATGAGCGGAGAGCCAAGCTCGTCTCGTGTTGAAGGAAGCCGGAGGGAATTACCAGCTCTGTTTCTGTAGAATCGGGGGGGCTCAGAAAGGCTGTGCTTCTTCTCTTTTCAAACTGTGGGACTTCTTGTTCCTAAGGTAAATCATACTCAGCAGTGAGGTGCAATTATGCATTTGCTGCAGATGTATCTACAGGCCGTATCGGAGCTGTCCATATGTATTATGGGAGATAGTCCCTGCCTCAAAAAACCTGACAACCTAGGTAAATGAGATTGGGGCGGTAGATGGGCACAGAAAAGCGAAGCGACTTGTCTGGTTTCATGCAGCATGCTAAAGGTGGAGTTAGGGGTAAAATCTGGCTGGTTTCCCAAGTCCACATCCATTCCTCTGCTGGCTGTACAATCCTTGTAGCTCCATACAGCAGTGCTGTCTGGCCCAGCCTTAAGCTGCAGGAGTTTGCAGCTGTGAGCTGCAGAAGATTTGTTGTTCAAGTAGACTGTCTTTGAACACTGTTTCTGTCCCATTCAGGAGAGTTCTGAGTCCAATACACTCATATGTATTTAAGCAATACTGTTCTCACTTTATATCCCTTACATTATTGCTTGTGCATGCAGCCAGTGTAAGCTTTCAGACCTGACAGCGGGGCTACATAGAATCATAGAAACCATAGAAAATGAGGGTTCAAGGGACCTCAGGAGGTGACATCTAGTCCAACTCCCTGCTCCAAGCAGGACCAGCCCCAACTACGTCATCCCAGCCAAAGCTTTGTCTAGATGGGTCTTCAAAACCCCCAAGGATGGAGAATCCACCACCTCTCTGGGGAGCCTGCTCCAGTGTTTTACTACCCTCCTAGTGAGAAAATTCTTCCTAATATCTGACATAAACTTCCCTTGCTGCAACTTGAGCCCATTGCTCCTTCTGTCATCTGCCACCACTGAGAACAGTCCAGCTCCATCCTCTTTGGATCCCCCCCTGCAGGGAATTGAAGGCTGCTATTAAATCCCCTTTGTCTCTTCTGCTGTGGACTAAATAAACCCAGTCTTTCCTCATACGTGTTCCTCAGGGTTTGAATTACACTTTGATTTTTTTGGGGGGGGGGGGGGGGGGG